GCCGTATGACATGCGTGCAAAACTCGTTTAAGATTGGAAGCAGGGAGAGTCCAACATATCTCATTGACGGCTCAAAATGACCGTAACGGGTTTGTCCAGAATCATGTCTTAGGGATTTTCGAAAAAGGACCTTGCTTTTGAATTATGAGCAATTGAGTGCGAAAAATGTCAAAAATGTTAAATGTCAAAGAAAAAAGGAATTGGTATGGCCCCTTGCAAAGGTTTTCTTCGCCGAACGGTAACTGTCTGACTTACCTTACTTCCAGGTTGGATGTATGCTGACAGGACTACAGCTGTGACGACTGACACAATCACCAGAACTCCACATCCCAGGAGGACCCAACAGATCTTGCTGGATTTTGCCTTATTCCACATGCCCATGATACGCTCTGGGGTTCAATATACAATTGATTTCATTGCGCATAGGTGACGAAAAACAACATATGAAAATATGAACAAATCTATCCGTAAATAATTTCATCAGGTTGGTAAACGACTGAATAGTAAAGTTCTTTTTATCACAACCATTTATTTTTCAAGCCGACGTTTCGATGACATTCTGTCATCTTCATCATGGCAATTCTGACTGGTATACTGTGCACTGACACTAGATGTTACTTGGTACATGGTGCATAGTGCACTTAAGTGTTACATAGTGCATTTAAGCTATTTTTTTACTGTTTACAATACATTCCAGAACGTAGTGTAATTGTGACATACATATTAGGCATTGTTACATCATAGGTAAATATGCGGATCCAAATGTAAAGTGTTTCTATTATACAATATAAGATTTGTTAAGTGACAACACTGAGCTATCACAGTCCCAAATGAAATTATTAAAAGTCTTGTTACATATGTATTGTTATAAATTATAATAGTTACAGACAATAAGAAAACCAACGTCAGTTATTAACCCTACCTAGACCGGCGGGGGGGGGGGGCTAAAAGTGCCCGCGGCAACTTTGATGTCACCTAGCATCTGAACGGCTAGCCGTAGAATGGCCAAACTTGGTGACTTTTCCTAGAATATTGTTGGCAACAATTCTCTATCATTGGAATAAGATAATAATTTTTTGTGTTGCCATGGCAACGGGTTTCTGACAGGCATTTTTTGCTAAATTTAGTACTTTTTGTCTCAACAATAGAATTTTAAGGGTTTTATGTCAAGTTACTCATGGTTTCTAATATTAATAACATCCCATATAATTTTATGTGCATTTTATCATTAAATATTGATAATTTATGCTAATTTGATGACGTCATTGGCCAAAATCCAAGATGGCGGACCATATCATTAGAACAGGTATATACAGGTTATTTTCATTAAAATTTCATCAATACTTCCATTTCTTTTTCCAAAAAAGGTTTAAATGAAGGTCTTTAGTATGTTTGCAATGTATTTTAGGCTTTATCATGAAAAAAAAACTATTTTTGAAAATTCAAGATTGATGATCCAAGATGGCGGATATCTTAAATATGCATGACGTCATTTTATGACGTCACCGGTGTTGCTATGGGCAACATAAGACTTAGTACACCATAATATTCTGTCATAAACACTTTTGGTACAGTTATGTTGAATACCATTTGGTTTTCAGGGAAAAACCTATTTAGACGGTTTTGGCCAATAAAATCACATTAATGATGTTATAATGACGTCATAGTACGTCATAACGACATAAAAATTGTAGATATGATAAATTTTTACTAGTACACCATTCTCTGAAAATTTGGTGCTCATACGACATACCGTTCGCGAGTTCTT